CTGGCCTGGAGAGCCTCCTCCTCCTCCTTCCCCTGTCCTGGCCGAATGTTTCCAGTCAATCCTCTTTGCCACTGGAATGTTTCCAGTGTTGAGCCTATATAACCTTACAAAAAACATGGTAAAAATGAGAGCCAGTATGGCATAGTGGTTTTGAGTGTTGGACTAGGATTCTGGGAAGCCAGGGTTCAAATCCTTGCTTGGCCATGGAAGCCCATTGGGTGACCTTGGGCAAGTGACATTCTCTCAGCCTCTGAAAAAGCAATGGCAGTTTTGCTCTGAACAAATCTTGCCAAGAGAACCTCATGACAGATTTGTCTTAGGGTTACCATAAGTTGGAAATGGCACAAAGGCATACAACAGCAACAACCACAACAGTAAAAACATAGTTTTCCTTGAGAGCAAAGCTCACTAGATCCAAAGCTATTTGCAGTGTGCTCCAGTCATTGTCTTTACTTTGAATTTCTACAGAGGTTGAGGGAAGAGACTGGAGTTAAGACAACAGATCAAGAACTCCTCCCTTGCTCTTCCTTTATACGCTCAGTGTTATAAAAATTGCTTGGTGTTATAATGCTTGCATCAGGGCTACAAGTGGTATTCTAGGACAGAAATAGGCAACCTTGTATTCTCCAGAAATTTTGAACTGCAGCTTCCATACCTCTCATTAGCCATGCTGGTTAGAGCTTATGGAATTCATCATCTGAAACATCTGGAGGACAGCAGGTTGCTTAACCCTGCAGTAGGCTATACCAGGGGTAGGCAACTTTTCCCCTTTAAGGGCCGAGGGACTTCAGCTCCCAGAAGCCTCAGCTATGTTGGCCAATAGTCCCATGTTGGCCAATACTAGCTCCTGGGATTCTGGGAGCTGAAGTCCCTCAGGCCTTAAAGGGGAAAGGTTGCCTACCCCTGGGCTATAGCATGGCTATGCTCACAGTCAATTGCTGCAGTTGTGGTAAAGAGGAAGTTATTCTCATTGGTCCAGAGAAGTAATTTCTGGTGTAAAGGTAAGCCCTAATAGATATATGAAGTTATTTTGCAGCCCCCCCCCCCGTTTAATTATTTATGCGTTTAAGCATTGGCCAATTGTCTCTTGAGGTAGACTGCAAACTTGTGAAGTTTCATGTTAGCAAATGGATTCACCACACTAGGTACTCCACTGTTACAAGCCCCTACACACTGGTGACACCCAGGTGAGTTGGCAGGTAAGAAGCTGATTGTAGTAAGGTTTGGGCTTTCAAGCCTGCATAGCTCAGAGAGTGATGTAGGGGCATCCCAGAGTGTTTGAGGAGTGTCTTTCTTGCCTCATTGGGACAGTGAGACTGGAGTCCAAATGGGTGAGATATCGAGGAATACATAAATAAGTGCCAATATCTGAAGACGACCCCCCCCCTTCTTTTAAGGTACCGGTAGTTTATCAAGCCCCATGGGGCACATTTACTCATTCAGTCTGTAAATGCAGATTCTAAGTGCACACATTTGCTAAATTAGTTTGTCATCACAATTTTGCAAAACACATCAGCTGATGGTAGATAAATGCCTTTTGAAGGTTACTTGAAATAATAAAGCATATAAGGAACTCCTTAATTTATTGGAGCATTTTAATAGTATATCATGTGGCTATTCTACAGTAAATAATTTGCTCCTGCAAAACATCTAAGGCAGGTGTAAAGAAGCAGATGAGAAGAGAAGGACTCTTATGTATTGGTCAGATGAAGCCTATCCAGGTTGGTTTTGAGAAACTATAGTGTGTGTCTGGGAGGTTGGCACTGTGTATACCCAGATGATAATCAGGTGTGAAGCAGGGAAGAATTTCAAAGCTCCTGGACATCAAAAACATATCCAGACATCAGGACAGAATTGTGGCTGTTTAGAATGAGCAGCTAAACCAGCGGTTCTCAACCTGGGGGTCGCGACCCCGGCGGGGGTTGAATGACCAAAACACAGGGGTCACCTAAAGCATGCGCTCTCCGCATCCCTCCCTGCTTCCCAAATCCCTGTTCTTTCTCTCCGGCAACCACCAGCCCCCTCCCTCCCTTGTCTGACCCCCCACCCACCCACTCCGACTCTCCTTCCTCCTTCTCCCCCCGGAGCCTTCCCTTCTCTCTGGCTCTCTTGCTCAGCCGTCTGCCCCCCGCCTAGGGGCCATCCTGAAGCCACCTTTAAAGCAGAGGAAATCCACCCAAGTCCCCCCCACCCCCATCCCATCCCACCCCACCCCTGGCCACTTTGGCATAAAGGGCTGAGCAGCCAAACAGAGTCCGGAGCTGTCGCCGGATCGCCCCACAAAACTCCCCCCCTCCTTCCCCATCAGCCCCAAAAAACAGCTCCAGGGAAGCGGGAGGGAAGGAGGGAAGGAAAGAGGGAGGAGAGAAGAGAAGACAAGAGACGAGACGAGAAGAGAAAAGGGCACCTATGCTCTCCAGTTGGCCTCCGTCTATCCCTGCCTTCAGATCCTTCTGGCCGCCATCCCCAGGACACGCAACTCCAACACCCCCACGTTCCCACGAGACAGTCGCTAGGCTGCCCCAACTCACTCTTCTCCCCCAAAGGCCCCAGCAATTGGGGATCCCCCCAGGTAGGGCCTGGGTCTTGCTCTCCATGCTCCCTTCCTTCCTTTTCCCTCTGATCTTGGATGGCTCAAAGGAACGCCTGGGGTTTGAGCATTTCTTGCCTTCTTGTGTGATTTCGAGGCCTTTCTGACTTATGGCGACCCCATTATGTTATGTTTGCTTGTTTGTTTAATTTCTTTTGCATGTCGCCTTTCTCCCAGAAGGGAGCCAAGGCGGCTCACAGATTAAAAAGTTCATAATAATAATAATAATAACGAAGACAACAACAATGCAGTAATTATAATAAAATTTAAAACAATTAAAATAACCTCAAAACAAAATAGACAAAAGTGAAAAGCCTGACTAAAACACACGTACTCCTGAAAACCATCCTGATGTATCAAATGCCTGCTTAAATAAAAGCGCCTTGGCTTGCAGATGAAAAATAAGCAGGGAAAAACAAACCCCTTCAGAGGGGGTTTGCCATTGCTGCCTTCTGAGGTTGAGAGAGTGTGACTTGGCCAAGTTCACCCAGGTCCAAAGCACAAGGCAGAAATAATCCAGTTTGAGACTGCTTTAACTGCGCTGGTTTGATGCTAGGGAATTCTGAGAAGTGTAGCTTTGTGAGACATTGAGCCTTTTCTGTCATAGAGCTCTGGTGCCACAATAAACTGCATTCCCAGGATACCCTAGCACTGAGCCAGAGCAGTTAAAGCGGTCTCAAACTGGATTATTTCTGCAGTGTGTTCTGGACCAAAGTAGAACTCTCAACCCACTATAAGCCACTTTGGCTCTCTAGTTGAGTTTTATTTTCACGATGAAAAAAGGAAGCCTTGGAGATTGGCTGCCTGTTCCCAAATGGACCTTTCTGCGCACCATTGGGATAATGTTTGGGGTTGACATGGGCGAACCGCAGGTTCTGGTGTGGGCCGCTGGTGTGAAATGTTATTTATTTTGGAATTGTTGTTATGTTTAAACCCATGCTATGCCATGATGAAATGTTATTTATTGGAATTAGTAATAAATATTTCTCAACATATAATTAAATATTGTTTTTGTGATTAATCACTATGTTTAAATTATGTTTGATTTGTAGCAATGAGAATACATAATGCGTATCGGGTATTTACATTCTGAATCATAACTGTAGCAAAATTATAGTTTTGAAGTAGCCACCAAAATGTTTTTTTGGTTTGGGGTCACCACAACATGAGGAACTGTATTGCGGGGTCATGGCATTAGAAAGGTTGAGAACCACTGAACTAAACAATCCACAGCTTTTCTGTCTGGTTTTGCTTCTCAACCCCTCTCCCCCAAATGGAGAAAAGTAGAATATGAACAAACCTTGGATTTGGACATCACAGTAAGCAAACCATAGATGGAAAGGCCCATGGTTTGTTTAGTTACCTGTGTTTGCGGTGGGAGCCGATTTGGAAAGTAGCCAGAATGCAAAAGAGTTTTCTGTTACCACTGATTGAGAATGTGGTCAGTCACCGAATGAAGACTCTACCAGTAACAACTTCAGTGCTCCTATTATATCTTAAAATACTTCACAAATATTAGAAGAGCCTCACTGAACACACTGGGAATTATTTCTGAGTAAACATACATGACATTTATTTTAGGAAATTACTACCCTTTTGGCCTCAAGGGAGTATTCTAGATTTAAAAAAAATTATAAAATATAATAAAATTATGTGATTAAAATAATTACAGTATATTAACTGAAATATTAAAACAGCAGTTCAGGAGGGGCATAAAACAACCAGGCCAGTTTAAAAATAAATCTTCACAGCAGGGGATTGAAAGAGAACAAAATACTGGCAAAATAAAGAGGGCTGCCATCTCCAAAGTGGGTTTGAGAGCAGGGGTTCCAGTTTCCAAGTGCCACTGCTAGGAAGGTCCATTCTGAGGTCCACACCAAGATCACTTCTGAAGGTGAAGGGCAGTAGAATATGGCTTCCAAAGTTGAATGCAAGGAAGTTCATGCAGAAAGTAGTTGTCCTTTAGAGAAATTGATCCCTAGCTCTTTGGAATTTTGTAATTGTAATTAGCATTTTGAATTGGCAGTGCTGGCTGGGGCATTCTTGGAGTTTTAGTCTAAAAAGTAGCTATTCCAGTCTCTGTTTTTCTCCAGCTGAGAAATTTCCAAATACTCTAAGGGCAGCTCTACATAAAGCACATTGCAGCTGTCCAATATGGATTATGCCAGAGCATAAGTGGTCAAATATGCATGATCCAAGACAGCACAAAAACTGAAGCTGAGTGAAGAGTTCATTACTGGTTACAGCCAACACATGGGCCTCTAAGATTAAGGCCAGGTCCAGGAGTGCTCCCAAAATTCAGACCTAATCCTTCATAGAATCATAGAGTTGGAAGAGACCACAAGGGCCATCCAGTCCAACCCCCTGCCACACATGAACTATTCAAGTAAAGTACAACTCCATCCAGCACTGACTTTGCCTCCCATGCGAGATCAGCTCTCCTACTGATCAAAAGCCTGGATTAAGTCTCAGTTTTTCAGCCTCCATCCATCCTTTTATCCAGAAAATGTATGGTCAGTCTGCTTCTGTACAAGAGTTCCCTTTGATTTTCTCTGTAAAGTCACTGATTTCAGAAGCTTCCTGACAGGATTCTCTTTGTCCAGCTGTACATCCC